AGCACACAGCCACCAACACCACTATCACCACCATAATTTTGAGGCTGCTTTTGCATACCTTTAATGTTATTGTGCACATTTGTGATAATTCAACGATACCAGGTATGGTGTTGTGGGTTAATGTGCTGGACTTTAAAGTCAGTTTGAACTGTTCACCAGCCGCTCCCAGGAAACCCCATACAGGGTTGCTATGAGTTGGAACTGACTCAATGGCATTAACAACAAAAACCAGAGTGTTTGAGAAGTGGATAACATCATCAAATCTGGTCTCTGACAGAAATAACTCTACTGTGGCACTTGAGTGTTTTAAAGTTGGTGTATTCCTGGTGTGGTGCTGTAGGATCAGCACTGGACTGAGAACCACAAGGTTAGCAGTTCAAACCCACCAGCTGCTCCTCGGAAATACTATACAAGGTCGCTATGAATCAGAACTGATTCAAAAACTCTTTACAACAACAACTTTTTATAGCTTTTCTCCTTTATGTCTAAGAAGAAAACATCCATCTTCTTACAGATAAATTAGCAAGGCTACAACTTCAAAATAACTATTAAGTGTGGGGTAGGGGGAAAGGCAGTTTCTACGTGTAGCTAAATAATTAGGCATACATCCAAACTCACAATTCCCACATCATACAGACAGTCCCTTTTGAGAAAGATTAAGCGGCCACAACACAGAGGAGCTGGACTTTTGAAAGGAGGAAAATGAGAAAGGGAAACATTGATATTTCATGAGTAAGCATTTACTACATTCACTCAGCCTGCCACTGCCTTCATATTTAATGAATGAGTTCACAGTGTCCATTCATACTGTTGATGTCTTGAATAGGATAGAAGGAAGTAGTGGGTAGGAAATTACAGGGCAGGGTGACAGTTGGATAAAATACAACAAAGCATTTCCCAGACTTCCATTTATGCAAACATCCATGAGCCCAACGAGAAGTTCATGCCTGTTTTCAAAACTACCTACCTGTTAGGTTACTGCCAACCTCATGGAACTGGAACCTTAAGGAACTGGTGATTTCCTCCAGAGACTCTCCAGAAATTAGCACTGGTTTCTTTGGTAGTGCTCCAGGGCACTCTAGGGTTCAGGTTCCCAGAATGACTGCCAACTCTGTTGTTCTTTTACAACTTAAAGATGAGGCAGAAACTTCCCCTATCAAGTGGGTTTCATGACATTGCTGCTAAATGAATCAATTCAAGCAATGACACACAGTTCAACCAAAGATACTGATTTACACTCTCTCTAATATATACTCCTTCTTTGTAAAGACATTCACTAAGACTCATTGAATTTCACATGTATGGTGTAAGATGGTACTCTTGGAGGATTTGGAAAAGGGGGGTAGTAAGATTTGGAGTGAGTAATAAGTCTATTGCAGATCACATGGGGAGGAATGAAACATTAAGAAAGAGAAAGTAAGAAAACAGGAAAGGCAGAGAAGCTGGTAAGAACATTGATACTACTTCTTGGTGGGAAACTCTTGATCTGGAGCTGGACCATGGTCATTGACAGAGTGGACTATCAACAAAGGCATAATAATGAAGGCTAGAAGAAAACAGTTTTTGTCTCAAGATGACTCCTCACTTTCATGGACATTTGCTCCCTCTTTCTCTTTTTTCATACACCTCTTGCTATCAAAACCAATAAAACCTTGAAAACAGCCATTGTCCAGAGCAAACAATACTTTGGGGCAGATACATGGAACATAACTACTACTGTCATTCAGTATTTTATCTGAGTGACGTCAGAAGAAAAGCAACTTGGAAAAACACATCTAAAAATTACTGAAAAAGTTCACGAAGTGATATTTAAACTTGACACAATCTTAATTCAGTATATCCCCTCAAGAGAAAAGAGAAGCTCTGTTTTAAAACTTGAGCAACGACATCTTATGACTTCTATTATAATGATGGCAAGAGAGAAATCTGAGGTGTGAGAAAAAAGCTTCTCCTTCTCAAATGCACACTGAATACTTCTAGAGTCCTCAGGTGGCATTGTGGGTTAATGTGCTGGACTGCAAAATTGGTTTGAATCACAGGGCTAGCGATTCGAGCTCACAAGTTGTTTCTTGGAAACCCTATATAGGGTTGCTATGGGCCAGAACCGACTCAATGGCACTTAACAACAACAACTAATAATTCTCAAGATTGAATACAGGAGATATGATAAAATAAAAAATGAAGTACCTTCAAATTCTTACGGTATATGTTAAAGATTTATGTTTATTAGCATTCTTCTGCATCATGTATTATTTAGGTTTCAATATCACTGTCTTACTCAAATCAACAATTAAAACTGACCAAAGAAAAATATTTCCTGTTGGGTTTAAGGCTCTACATGCTCTGCCACTTAGCATGGTCTCGGTCCTAAAGGTCTTAGATTAGTTTAAATACTTCATGCTTTTTTTTCTACTCAACTACATTTTAATCAATAGACACTAAATGATATTTCTTTGATACTCTTTCCAAAATTAACTTCAGCAGGAGAATTCAAAAATATCTTCCAAAATCTATTCTTGACTCTACTTAAAAACTAAATTAAAACCAGTAACACACATTTTCTATACTGTGGTCCAAGCTAAGGATACAACTTTGCTGGCATTATTTCCCAAATTGGTTTTGGGTTCCAAATATATCTTGTGTCAGGTTTAGGAAACCTATGGATATTTGTGTGCTGATGAAGGAGAGTTGATATTTTCCCAGAAAAGAGAACCCTGCAACTTGTCTTTTGATGAAGTTCCATGGATGATCAGCTAGAATTGAATCCAGGAAAAGATGAAGACAGAGGAGTAAATCCCACCTGAAATCCTGATCAAACAACCACCTCACTTCTCTGTTCTCTAGATAAGTCTCTGAAGCCAGAGGATGCTAGATTCAACCTTAGGATGAGAATTTCTACTTTCATTCTCAACTTCTTACTCCTTTCTAGAAATTAATGCAAAAGCAAAGGGATAATTTTTTCAAAGACATGCTATTTTAGAAAAAGAAAAGAAGGGGCAGCAGTAGCCAGATGCAAATGACTATACATTACATGATTCCACCTAAATGATACACCCAGAAAAGGCATTTTCATAGAGAAAGAAACAGATTAGTAGTTGCCTAAGGCAGATGTTGGGAGCAAAGATTAACTGTAAAAAGATGTAAAGGAAATTTTTGCATGATGGAAATGCTCTAAAAGAGGATTGTGTTGATATTTGGGCAAGTCTATATATTTATTTTAAAATATTTAATTGTACACTTACAATGGTTACAATTGTGTTAAGTTAAATTATTCTTCAATAAAGCTCCTTAAAAAGAAACTTCCAGGCTTTAGAGAAAAAAGATATTTAAATGAAGCTTTAGTGATCAAAATAATCATAATAACTTTTTAGTTAATTAGAAATAATGTAAACAGAGTAAAGGAGGACATTGGTTAAAACAACTAGAAGTGATATCAACACATTATTTTAAACAGCGGTTGGTTATGTATATATTTTACAATTTCTTCTTATTTTAGTTTTTGTTAACAAATCTACCTTTGTGAGATATATATATATATATATCTCACAAAGGTAGATTTGAACTTTATTCCAAAATCCAGTATTGTGTTTCCCATCAGGAAAGAAAGCTAAATGATGTAATAAGATAGAATGAACAATTAATGAAAGGATACAGTTTTATTATTTCCTTTTATTTTTCTGAAATTGTTCCTATAGAAAGACTCCAGCAAGGAAAGAACTCAAAAATATGAGATCACACTGAGAATTATATAGGTCTGATTTCTCAACCAATCCCATTTTTTTCTTCCTGGATGCACAGGAAGACTAGATTTCCCAGCATCCCTTGCAAGTACAATGAGATAATGTCTGGCAAATAAACTTTGGTCAGAATAAATAAATGTCATTTCCAGACAAAGCAATAAAACATACTGTCCACTCTTTCAAGCTCTTTCTCTTTTCTCTCTGGACACAGCTGGAAATGAAGAAACTTAAAATGGTGGATAGAGTCAACGAGTGGAAAGAGCCTAGATTTATGAATTTCTTCTTGGAAGAGAGTTGACCAGGAAAGTTGCTCAACTGGTATTGGGCTTTGCCTGAGCAAGACATAAACCTTTCTTTTAAGTCACTGAGATTTTGGGACTATTTATCATAGCTATATATAAATATAATATTTAATATATTAACTATAATAAATATAATATTTATTATATTAACTAATTTACTACAGGACTCAAAGCATATTCTTTCCTTTCTTCTTTTCATCAGCTCAGTGTATGTCTCCCTTCTGCTCATCCATCCTCTGTCTCTTCCTATTTTCCTTCCTTGACAACTCCAATTAATGTTACTGTTTGGACATGAAATGCCCAAATAGTATTCAGGCTGCAGGTCATGAAGTCTTTTCTTCAAGAACAGGGATATCTGAATAGAATTAGATGAACATAATACGTAGCAGTTCTTCATTCTGAAGAACTAAAGTACCTCTTATATCTTTGGTTAAAATGTTGAATCATCACCCACAGCAGTTTTTGCCCATCCTCCTGGAAGAGATAAATACCAATGAAGAAATATCTGAGTTGGCAGCCACCTTTTGGATCATGAACTTTGTGTTTATTATCTGAAGTTTTTGGTAGTAGAGAAGTGCATGCTGGTTGCTCTAAAACGTTTAGCCCACTTCTGAGGATTATTTCCCAAACACAACAAATGACCATTTAAATTCATTTTCAAGTTATTTGTACTCTAGGTACATTTTCCTCCTTTCTGCATAAATAGCAAATACAAGGAAAGAAGAGAGGATCTGCCCCAATTCTAAATCAACACCCCCAGCCATAATCAACCTTTTACCATGACCCCACCCTTCTTCTTGTCAACCCCAGCTACCCCCACTCCACAATAAAAAAATAAAAGAATTCAAATAAAAAACAGCTCATAAAACAGTAAATAAAATAAAGTCAGTTTTTTTTGTTGTTGTTTTGTTTTGGTTTGTTTTTTAAAGAACAAAATGAAACTTGAGGGAAAACTTACTGGAGTTACAGTTTATCCTGATACAGTCTAGATGGGGAAAAATAAATGAAAGATGAAATTGCATCCTTCAAGGTAACAGCTGCAGACATCCAAAAACAATCAGTCCACCCTTCCGGGGACAGACACACGCAAGAAATGTGGCCATTTTATATATATACAGTATGTACAAGTTTAAGGGTGTATATGCACAGTCTATTATTTAGTAAAGTTGGATACATATATATATACAAACACACACATATATATACACATATGTATGGAGATATATACTGGTATACATATATATCCACAATAGACACCAAGTAGGCTTTGGACTTTTTTTCCCAACAAAATATCTATTCAATCATGTGAATTATTTCATACATAAACTTTGAAATATTAATTTTGTTAAACTTGGTAAATGAGGCAAAAATTTCCCACCAAATGCAAGTTAAACTCTATATCCCCCTACATCTGATTTTCTTAAAATTTATTTTGAAAAGTAGCATGAAGACAATTTTTGTATTACTATTCAAAAGATACATCACCAGTCTGACACATTGTATCATTTAAAAAAAATAACTGTCCGTGAAGTTTCTCAGTGCAGTATTTAACCCTTTCTCTTTCTCTAAAAATGAACTCCCTCCACCCTCTCCTTAGCTCAGGCCCCAAATGCTATGAAATTTTACAGAGGCAGAAACTGCCATCACCCCTATGGGCAAGGAAAGGGTTAACACCACCTGGACATCTCCTGTCATAAAATGGCCACTTGCAAACAGCTAACCGCACAAACACCCATCCCAGATTTTAGAGAGGTGGGGTTGAATATAGAATAAAGGGAGTTTTAGGGTGCTATCACAATTGGGTTCTCTGATTGCTATTGTTTCAAAGGCTCCCGGACCAACCCACCCACGAAGCCCATCTTCGTCTTCCTGCCGGAATGCTCAGACTGAATCAAGTGCCTAAAGCATTCAGGGAAAAGGCGAGACAGGCACGTGTGGAGGTGGCCTCAGGCACCTTTGACAAGACTACCTATTTTACTCTGTGATTCTGCATCTTAAGGAGAGAGTTAAATTATATATATCTCTATATATACAATTATTTTTTCCCCCAATGGGTAAGAGAAGGGAGAAAAGGGTGGCTAATTTTTCAATGCTGGTAACTAGAAAGTTCTGCTATGCCAGAGACCAGAGTATCTATAATGTTATTAATATCTATTCGAGAGTATTGGGCACACACTCTGACAGTTCTTAACTACACTCAATGGGCATGTGGAGGGGAAATGGACAGAAATGGTTAGAAATACTCATTAATTGTTTGTTACCAAGCCGTCCTGATGAACCTATGGTTGGCTTATAATGGAGGAAATTATAATACGTTTTGTTTGTTTTGTGAAACATTAAAATGTAGAAGCAAGATTATAAAGAAGAATAAGAAAGTTAAAGAGGAAAAAATACAGCAATAAACTATGTTTTTCTTCAACCCAATGGTGTTTTGAGGGCTTGCCTAGGTCACAATGCCACCATTTGAATTTTCCCATGGAAGTCATTTTAAGCCAGCATATAAAAAAGAAAGCAGTGGCAAATGGCAGGGCAGAATGAACCCACAGAGGAGCAATTTATATACCCAGTCATTTCTGAGGGTGGAAGCAGGACATTTATTTGTTCCCCAGAAGAACGTCTCTTGAGAAAAATCTGGGTTTGGTTTCGTGCGGTTAGGTTTGTCATGTGTCGTCAACCGCAACAGAAAAGTGGGAGCAAACAGTCCTGGAGCAACTCGTACGATCACCAGACAGAGGAGGCCATGCCCCTGGTAAGGACTGGGGAAAGGAAGGGTAGGTAGGGAAGAAAAGGTAGGAGCTTCAACTCTTGTTCACACCTACCATCACCCAAAGCTGGGGAATGTACCTCTTGGCTCACTACAGAGAGACAGGAAACAGGTGTGCGCATGTATAAAAGGGAAGGAAAGAGAAAGTGTGGGCATAAAGCAACAATCCTGAGAACTATAAACATGGAGTGGTTTTCTTTGGTCTCTATGGAGCTGAGGATTTTATTATTCGATAGGGGGGATAGGAGTTGTGTTTACTTGTCGTTCTCAGTTCATCCAAATAGCTTCATGTAAAGTGAATGTTGTCTATAAATCAATGTGAAGAGTTGGAACTTTCAAGATGGCAAGAGAATTTGGTCAGTTTAAGTCATCAAGTAGATAAACATTTGATTACTTCATCAGATACATGAGTGAATTGAGGTACAAATCTATCCAACTCCCTGAAAAGATAGTCTTGATAGTAAGATTTATTTTTTAAAAAGAAACATGATTCAGGGTAATTGGCTTGGGAAGGTAATTAATTCCATTTAGATCTAACTTTAGTAGCCAAAGTTTCACTCTGCCTGAAAAAAAACAGCTTCCTGTGTCTCATGATGGTATTTGAAGCTTACATGTTGTTAGTCCTGCTTTATTTAGTTTTATCTTATTGTATCAGCCAGGAGAGACAACTATTTTCCATGTTCATGAACTTTGAGTTAAACATGGATGAGTGAATGACTTTAGGAGTTCTGTGTCTTCAGTGATGCATACAATAAACAGGAGAATACAAGTCCATGTTTCCAGAGAGAGAATACTTGGAGAACTCAAATGCAATCAGCTAAATTGCAAGATACCCCTTCAGAGCCTTCTGCCATTGATGAAGGGTTCCCAGTATTCTTTTGCTGAGGATTCTAAAGGGCCACAATTAAAGCTGTACCAATATTTGCTGACTTTCTTTCAGGTAGCTCAATTTTTTAAAGGACAGCTATGTGCAAACAGTTCAAAGTCATTGATATGGTCACATCATTGATACAATGTTGACCTGTTGAGGTAACATAAAACCCACACTGAGTTACTTCGAGTTCTAACCAGGGCTTCTAGGTCTAGCTCTGCTGCCAACTTTCTGTGTGATCTTTGCAGTCACGTATTTCATTGTTTCACAATCTACAGAAGTAAGCATAAAGATGTTTTCTTGCCTTATCTCCCCCAAATAATTGAAATTGAAATTAGACAAAGTGTTTTTAATCTTTAAGTAGCCTGTAATAATTAAAATTCTATTCTCGTCTGTTTATATCTAAAAAATTTAAATATGTAGATCAATAGCAAATCTCATAACCTTTTAAGTATCACGTAAAGGAGCTCTGGTAGCGTAGTGGTTACGAATCGGGCTGCGAACCTTAAGGTCAGCGGTTCGAAACTACCAGCTGCTCCGCGGGAGAAAGATGAGGCTTTCTACTCCCGTAAAGATTTACACCCTCGGAAACCCTATACAGGGTCGCTATGGGTCGGAACCGACTCGATGGCACTTAACAACAACAACAACAACATTTCCCATGCCTTTGACTACTACATAGAGCTGCTTTCAGAAAGTAAAGTTCTTGGAAAAGCCTAGTTAGTCCCTTTGACTCTTAGAAAATATGCTACATTAGAGAAATTTAAAGTAGATTTCTCATATCATGAGCTTATATGTATGGCCAGTGAAAAATAAATTGGAATATCAATTGTGTTGTGTGTCAGAAAAAAGGCCAACTTGAAGAGTGAGCGAAGTAATAGTTTCACATTAGTTCTTGGGTAATGCACGTGAATGTCTCACAAGGACAACAAACACATGTATGGCGGTGGGAAGTGATACAAGGGGGCTTCAAACATTCTTAGAGAAATTCCATTATCTTTGAATTTTGCTTCTTCATGGACTTTTGGAAACATTCTCATCTTTGAAGGAGCTGGAAGAAGAATCTTTGAATAAAGTATGAACCTGAGAATTTAAGTGTTCCATGTCAGGTTTGAAGGAAAAAACCAAATTCACACAAGTAATTATGGAAAAGCATCCTGAATGAGCACCACGCTCTGAAGAGAAGGGGTCGATTTTGCCTATAAAATATCCATTTATAAGGTGTGAGATTGATGTCATGCACAAAGGAGACAAAAAAACAAAAGTAAAGGTTTTTGGAAAAGCACATCTCCTTGATTTTCACCAGGATTTAAATTTTAAAAAGAATGCTTCTAGGAATACACATGGGATCTGTGAGTCAGTCTGAGTGTGTGAGTCACTCTGTGTGTGTTTGGGGTGGGGGAAAGAACCTGCTCATCTTTCTCTTCATCCCTTTTACCCAATCCCAATTTTCTTCCTCAGTGAGACCTGACACCCGTCTAATCTTCACAAAACAGTATCTAATAAAGAGAAGAAAAGTCTGTTTAAGTACACAATGTTCACTTCCCCAGGACCACTCGGGACTGAATCATTCTTTTATCTAACTGTTTCCTCTCTGTCTTATAGAGACAGAGTTAAAAACGGTCCTCACCTTTTTTCTTGTTGTTTTTCTCGTGTATGAGCTAGTTAGGGGTTTGTGCTTGCTTTTTAGTGTTTTTGTTTTTCCAGAAAAGTAGACAATTAACTACTGGTTGTTGGTTTGAGGTAATACATGCTTTTCTTGGTTTGTTTGATGGGGAGGCTGGTGTGGGGAAGGGAAGGTGGGAGGGATAGGGTATGCCGGCCTCTGCAGGCTGATCAGTACACTCTGTTCTCAAGGCTGTTTGCTGTGCGGGCCGCAGGCTTTGGGCCTTTGAAGGGTTGAATACCATCTTTTGATTTACCATGGTTGATGATGGGGAGGACTTGGAAACTCAAGAAAACAGAAAACGATCCAGCAAAGGTGAAAAACAAAATGCCAAATAACCAAACAGACACACACACATACACTCACAAACAAAAGACAAACCAAGAGACACATTGACAACAGAAAACAAATGATGCTTGACAAGAAAAACAGGGGCATGGTGCTAGAAAAGCTGCAAACTGGACGAAGGAAAGAAAAAGACATACTTAAACAAGCCACGGCTCAAAACAGTCTGTGTCCCACAGGTTTTAAGATTAGAGCACTAGTATTTTCAAGTTGACCAGCTGACTTGAGAACAGATAAGCCTGGCCTTCCTAATACGCCATCCAGGTATTTGTATGTTCTTGCATCTAGTTCATTTGTCCGTTGTGTCTTCTCCATGCCTGTGAAAAGCTATTCCATCCAAAAGTATCCAACATACCCAAACAAATTCAAAAGCTTAGAAAGTCTGGGCTCAGCTTGTCTGTCAACACTGGGCACTGACCTCATGATGCCCAGAGATGGCCAAAAACTCTTTCTGATGAGTAGAAACAGCAGAATTAAAGAGTTTTTTGGGTTTTTTTTTTTTTTTGAGTGTGTGTGGATTTTGTTCTCTGACAAACACCAAGAGGCCCCTATTCTCTAGAAATGGCTCATTAGAATTCAATAATGAGGGTCTATAGCAAGAAATAACATGAGGCCATGAGAAGGATAATTTTCAAAGTATCTATCTGTTATAGGTAATGATAGTGAAAGAACAGATCTACTCCCAATATGAAGCTATAAATTTGAAGTTGCCATAATAGTTTAATATCAAGGAAAATGGATATGTGCTATAGGATCAGAAGAAAGTATCTGACAAGTAAAAGTATGAAGTTAATAATCTTTCCACATAGGGTTCCTGGCTGATGGGCAAGAGTATCAGGAAGGAAGATGGGGTGCATAGCAGAAGCAACATTTTCCTTCCATACGTCAGATACTCTCAATTTATGAAATTATTTCTTCAATGAGACAACATTGGAGATAATCTGACTTGCTTTCTCCACTAGGAGAAAGGATGAGGCACTACAGTACCATTGAGTCACCATAATTCCTCATTTTAATAGTCATTGTGAAGCCAGAAATAATACATTTCCCATTACCTACATGGTTGCTTACTTCTCTCCAATCATGCCCTCCCCATTTTGCCTCCCTTTTATACCCTGTTCCTACTTTCATCATTGACTGTTTTGAGTGGCGACCAAGGAGTTGAACTTAATGGGAATGTGTTTGATCAAAAGATGGACCAAAGTAGCGTGTTTTACACAAAGCTAAACGGTTCCAAAAAACCAAGAAAGGAAACTTAGAAAACAAATAATCTAGTAAAGAAACCATCACTGTCAGAAACCAGATATTGACATAAAAACCTCATGCAGAATCAAGGCGAAAGAGGTGTTTGTTACTATTGGGTTTTATCCTTGGTCTATTAAACAAGAGATGAGCAGCTAACTTTCAAGAAACAAACAAACAAAATAATTCAATCAAACCAACCAATGAAAATCAGAAAAGAAAAGGAAGACAAGCCCAAACATAATGGCAGAGGGTACTTCATACGATACCTAAGTTAACCATGAGCTTGACGCGTCCACCATCCAGCTCCAGACGCAGGGTGTCAGCAGAGTCCCTGGAGGTAGTAGCTACCAGCAGCCCATAAGCCCGCTGGGACATAAAGCGGAAGGACACATCTTCTGCCTCAGTGTGCATGACCATGGGCATGATGATCTTCATGTACATGCTGCCATCATAGCTCAAGATCGAGGCCTCTGCCAAAATAGAATGGAGGAGATATTAGGACACAGGATATTCAGTTCCCAAATACCCCTTTTTGACTGGAGAAAATATACAAGAGTGGAGAAGACAGCACACGTATCGTCAGGTAACTTACATAGTTAAGCCTGTACACTTAACTCTTCTGCCAAACTATCTTCCAAAGCACATCCGTAATGTTGCATGGCATAGTGAGTGATTCAGTTTGTGAGTATGTTTTTGCAGACATATGCCATTACTTAAAGTTGTATACTCTTTTTTTTTTTTTTTAAGTTTTTATTGTGAATTGAGTGATAGTTTATATGGGAGAACATCAGGTTTACACTCATCCTATCGTATTTTGCTTCACTGCAACGATTACAATCCCCTCCATGTATCATCATTCATCGGTATTTGCTGCTATTCCTTTTTTTTTTTGGATGTATACAAAACACTCAGGAATATGCAATCACTCAAACCCTCAAAGGGCATACCCTGCAAGCCTTCCCCCCAGCCACCAGCACACAGCCCCTCTCCCTCCATGAGTCTCGAGTCCCCAGCTGCATCTTTCAACATTATCATTTCTACCTCCATCTCTGGGGTCATGGCTTTTCAGAATACCACACTCTGCTCCCGCTCTTCTCCCTTTATGGTCCCAGGGTCCTCCGCTCCTGGACTGCAAGATCAACCACTCCCATCTTTTGTTACAAAATGTCTACCTTCACAATTACAACAATCTTCCTGGTGTGGCACTTTTGGTTAATGCGCCAGACTGCAAAGCCATTTGAACTGCAAGGCTGGCAGTTCAAGCTCACCAGCTGCTCCTCGGAAACCCTATACAGGGTCGCTATGGGTCGGAACCAACTCGACAGCACTTCACAACAACAACAACATGTTGTAAATACAACAAAAGTGCATAAGACAAAACTTGGAATCCCGCTGAGTACTTTATGAAGAATAGGAGGAAAGCAGAAATTTATATGCATCATGACAAGCAAATAGGTATCTGCCAAAGGACAAATATCTAAAGGAAGAGAAGAATAGAAACAGCCTGCTACGGCCAGACACTGTGAGAATTTGATTGCTCTATTCAAAGCAATGATACCACTGAGGAATGCAGTAGCTGTTACGTGCACTAGAATCAGTTCTGATTCATAGTGACCCTGCATAGGATTTCCAAGGAGCAACTGGTAGGTTAGAACCACCGACCTTGTGGTTTGCAGTCCAGGGCTTATCCTGCAGCCTCTCTCACACCAGGACCTAATAGCCTTCTCTTTACCTAAGAAGCTCTTTATTAGAAATGAAGAATAATGACTTTTTTTTTTAAATAAAATGTTCTATTTTATTTTAAAGTATATGTGTTTATTCCTCTTTTAAAAAGAACTAGAGAAAAAAGTAAGAAAAACCTCTCTGAATATTAAAACACAAGGGAAAATAACATTATTAGATTGGCATTTGTATATTTGATTCATTTCCTCCTATGTTCTCTGCATTGGTGAGATTATTCTCACGGTTATAATCTAATATTAATTCATTCCACACATACAAGGGATTTCAACAAATTTATGGAAATTTTCCATTATTTTAATTATATTTTGTTGTTGAAGTTTTTATTGTGAATTGAGTGATAGTTTACATGGGAGAACATCATTTCATTGCAATGATTACAATCTCCTCTGTGCATCATCATTCAACAGTATTTGTTTCTAGTCCCTCTGTTTGTTTGCTGTTGTTGTTGTTGTTTTTGTGTGTGTGTTTGGGGGGGCGGGGGGATGGACACAAAAACACTCAGGAATGTATAATCATTTAAATAACCAAAGGACCCATTCTGCAAGCCTGTCTCCTTGGCTATCAGCACTTGGCTGCCAGCACACAGCCTTTCTCTTTCCATGAGTCTAAAGTCCTCATCTGCTCTCTCTCTCTCTCTCCATGCCCTCATCTCTGTCTCCATCTCTGGTGTCGCTGCTTCTCTGGATAGAGTCCCACATTTTGCTCATGCTCTTCTCCCTTGATGGGCCTAGGGTCCTCTGTTCCCAGGCTGTATGATTACCTACTCCCCACTTTTTGCTTCAAAACTTCTACATTTACAGTTGTTATCATGACTAATTGCAATGGTCACAATTACTCACTATTGAATCATAAGAATCTTATACCCATCTCCTTTCACCAGACCCATCTAGACATGATGAAAACTATTTAGTGGGGAAGAACATTGACTTTTATTTGATACTTTTTCTAATCCAAGCACTTTGGTTAGGAGTTTCCCCCATAGGTTTTCTCATTGTATGTGAAGATGTGGGTCTATTATTCTGACTTTCTCACAAGAAGACTTAGGCTCTTAGAGGGGGAAGTAGTGTCCAAGAGTCACATGAATTGGGTTCTAACCCAGTATGTTCAACATTAAGTCCAATGCCTATCCTATAAAACCATACTAACTAAAATGTGAATATGTCTATTCATTTGGCAAGTATGTGTAATGAACACAGGAAGAGAATAGCACTCACATCCCCATGAAGCCAGCAAATCACTGAACTCATTATTTAGTATTCACTGGTGGCAAATAGTTGCAACACCAAACATGTGTTAAATAGTTGCTACCTATATGGGGTCCTGGTGTGGTGTTGCAGGATAATGCGCTGGACCACAAGGCCAGTTTGAACTACAAGGTCAGTGATTTAAACACATCAGACATTCTTCAGAAACTCTATGCTAGGTCACTATGGGTCAAAACCAACTAGTGGTTACTAACAACAATAACAACACCTATATGTGCTGTAGACGCCAAAAAGGTGCAACCAACAAGGTTCTTGTTTGAAGGGAGGAATGCTATGCAAATAATAGGAATAGACTATAAAAAGTGATCAGCACAGGAAATATAGATGATAAAACCAATGACCTTCTGAGGAGCATCTATAAGGGTATAAGTAAGTAGATAGGTAGAGTCTCAGATGTTCTGAAGGGTAGGTGGAATCTTTACTGGAAGAAGTGAAGGTCTTGGAATTGACAAGTAAAGCAAAATATAACTGTACATACAGAAATAAATGAAAGAAAGGATAGTGATGTGCAGATAATAATGAATTACTCAATTTACCTTGAAGCATCAGACACATTTTGGAATGTAGTTACACAAAAGTAGTTTAAGATTAGAATAAAATCAGTGATTTTGATAGATACTTGAGAATAAATAAATGGGTTTAGGTTAAAAAGTACCAACAATAAACTAATTTGTGCATGTTGTGTGCCAGGCCCTCTTCTAAATGCCAAGGACATGCAGCGAAAGAGAAAAGCATTTCTGCCCTCACGTATAAAGACAATTACAACAAAAAGAGAGTACAAGCAGGCACACTTCTTAGAAGTTTCCCCAAATAATCTGTGCCATCATTATCCTCCTATCCTACTTACACAACTTATAAAAGTCCTCTAAAGGCAATATTAATACACTTAATTTTATTCCTGGAAAGCAACTATCACTGGGGGCTGGGGGTAGGGAACAAACATGATGTGCTAACAGCTGTACATTATAATTTGCAAACCCTAAGAAAATCACAGTTATATAACAGTTGCAGACATCATTGCAATGAAAGATCTGTTCTTTGTTGTTGTTGTTAAGTGCTGTCCAGTCGGTTATGACCCATAGCGATGCTGTATAGGGTTTCTGAGGTGACCTTGAACCACCAACATTACGGTTTGAACTGACTTTGCAGTCCAGCACATTAATCCATAAAACCCACAATGTCTAGTCTCTCTGAATATCCATTCTAAGACAGGATCTAATATTAGATCCTGAAGATCTAGTCTTAGATGGAATCTAATCTTAGACTCTGAAGATCTATTCTTAGGTGGAATCTAATTTTAGATTCTGAAGATCTATTCTAAGATCAGATCTAATCTTAGATTCTAAAGAGTTATTCTTAGATGGAATCGAACCTTAGGCTCTGAAGATCTATTCTTAGACAGGAAGCATAATATTAGTTTAACACATACTCCACATGGGAAGGAAACAATTTTATCTTCCAGCGAAATGGGACTAAAAGAAGACCAATTGGGACAATTAAAATATATTAAGAATTTACTATTTGCCTGATGCTAAGACTTTAGAGGCATTATTATTTAATCCTTACAAGACTATCATGAGGTAGACAATAAGAAGGAAGCCTGGTGGCAGAGAGGTTAAGCACTAGGCTGCTAAATGAAAGGTGACTGATTTGAACTCCCCCCCTCCCCCAGCCACTGTGCAGAGAAAGATGTGGCAGTCAGCTTCAGTAAAGATTGAACGTTTTAGAAATCCCCTGAGACAGTTCTGCTATGCCATATAAAGTCAGAATCAGATTCAACTAGACAGCAGCATGTTTTCCTTCTCTCTCTCTCTTTTTTAAAAGTAATATAAGGCAGAAGGAAAACTTGAATGCAGCAGTCTGATTCTAAGCCTGTATACTTAACTATTCTGTCAAACTGTCTTGTCATAGAACTGTGACCATACCTAGATTTCTAATTACCCAAATCACATTCATAATGCTACATGGTACAACGAGTGCTTCTGTTTGTGAATGTGTTTCTGCAGACATACATTACTTAAAGTTGTACACTATTTTAAAATATGAAAAATACATAAACATAGATAATATATACATTTATCTCTAATATACTGTTATAAGTACATACATTGCTCTCAAAGTGTGTTTGTGGAATTATAAACACCATTAATCATTACTCGGCCCAAGTGAAACCTGAAGCATGATGCTGTTTGGAAAGAAGTACAGTTGGAGTGCTCCTTAGAAGTGAGAATGATGACACATCCTTCCAAGTACTTTAGACACATTGTCAAGTGGGAGAAGCCCTGGGAGAAGGATATTGTGCTTGCAAAAGTAGAGGGTCAGCAAAAGAGGAAGGCCTTTCAATGAGATGATGGACACAGTGGCTGCAACAATGGGCTCAAACAACCACACCTGTGAGGAGAGTGCAGGCCCACACAAAGGCCCTGTATAGAACAGAACAATTCTACTCTACACAGGGTCTT